CTTGGCTGTGCTACTGGACCTGTGAACTGCCTGGGCAAGGATGGCCTTCCAGATATCAGGATCATAAAAAGTCATGGGGAAAAAAGTATAGAAAATTGGAAAGTATGTAAAGGGAAGGAAAGAGGGACAATGCATGCTTCTCCAATTGGGCATTAGCAGCCATGCTGCCTGGGAAAGAGGATGGGTTTATATCAAGCACCTGAAAAGCTCCAAGTTTGGATGGCTGAAATAATGGATCAAGGATTAAGAGATGGATAGCTTTGGAAGTAAAGACTCAGGGATGCCATTCAATGCAGATTTATGTGCTTAACTCTGCACTGAATTTTATCTGGAAGAAAGACTTTTTTCTATTCTGGTGTAAAATATTCAAAGCTATATGGACTCTACTACAAAAGGGTAATACAGTGCAATACAAAAAAGTATCAGCAAAGAATAGTCTATCTTATGTTGCCATATGTTAGTAAAGTAGGTAGGTAGCTATTTTAGGTAGCTAACCAGGTACCAGAAATGCAATAGTTAAATATCATTGGATTGGGCCAGACTGCTGGGGACTATGTAAACAAATGCCTTCCATCATGACTTGTCTTCAGTGCCAATCTGCAGATTTTCAGGGATATTTTGGGGGAAACCACTTTATTCATCATCTTCTATTTCTCTCATTCCTGCCAAACATAGTCATTTTAACAGTAGCTACAATAAAGAATGACTGGATCCTGGAGAGATGGGGAAAACAAGCTGCTTGGTGACTTTATTGAAAGGCAACCTGCTGAATGCTGAGAAGAGCATTAAAAGAGGCAGGGATATCAGATGTCTGATTTAATAAAACACTCAATAATCTCCTTGTGTGATCAGGAACAATCAAAGTATGTTGGCAGCAACAGCATATGTTCTGTGACATAACAGAGCATCATCCAGATGAACTGTAAAAAGGCAAAAAGTGTTCATGGGGATAAAAAACAAGGTCTGTGGGAGATTAAGTTAGGAACTTAAACATTCGTGGAAAGAAGGAAAAGAGATTTAAACATCGACAGTATGGTCTGGTCCTTCTAAAGCTCCAAGGGAAAATGCATACAAAATATCCAATTAAGCTGATATCATTTGCTTTCCTTCTCACAACAGCATAAACAAGGAAAGCAGGCAAGATTCCTTGCAGCTTAATAAGCTTCACACATGTGTGTGTATGCACACACACACACACAAACACACACACACAAACACAAGCAAAGAGCAAGGGACAGAAGGAAAGCACCAAGGTCAATAGCATGGAGTCTCTGGGGAGCAACATGACATAAGTCCTTTAAAATATTAATTCCCATTTTCATTGGGAGATGAGTCAGCAGCAGTGATAAAACCCCAGAGAAGTCATAAAAAGCCAGAGCAATTGATAAAGTGGAGAGTCNTTCCGTCACGTTGAAGGTCAGGTCATGCCTGTCTCAGGCAGGGGTATAAGCCAACAGATGGATGAGTTGCCTGCTCCACAGGCCTCCGGGCCAGGGAAATGACACATCTGAGAAGGTTCTGCATCTTAACAAAACCACAGTGATGGGAATTTTCACCCTCTAAAATGCCACCAATATTTGCTTGCTTGCCCCACAAATACAGCCATGCTCCTCAATTTTCTGAGAATTGAACTCCTCCAGTGGTAGTTGCGTTCATCAATGCAGACTGATGGAAAGTCATCTAAATAAATTGCACTTCTTCTACAGTAGAATAAAAATTGCATTTGTCTGGCTTCATACATACACGTAAATCACTTGGATCTGTGCTTGATTATTCCATACACAATGTATAATCTGGATTCATTGAAAAATACTGAGTTTGAAATCATGTGCAAAGATGGGAAATATCTAAATATAGCATGGGATCTGTAAAGTATCATTCACATACAGTACAGATAGTCCTTGACTTACAACAGTTCATTTAGTGACCGCTCAAAGTCACAACAGTATTGAAAAAAGTGACTTATGACCGTTTTTCACCCTTATGACCATTGCAACATCTTCATGGTCACTTGATCAAAACTCAGATGCTTGGCAACTGACTCAGATTAATGACGGTTGCAGTGTCCTGGTGTCATGTGATCCCCTGACAAGCAAAGTCAATGGGGTTCACTTAACAACTGTGTTACTAATTTAACAATTTCAGTGATTCACTTAACAACTGTGGCAAGAAAGGTCGTAAAATGGGGCAAAACTCACTTAACAACTGTCTCGTTTAGCAACAGAAATGTTGAGCTCAATTGTGATCGTAAGTTGAGGACTACCCGTATACAACCATGGCTTCTGTCCCAGGCTTGGAGTTGATGTTTATTATTTGATCAATGGCCTAGTTTTCTTTTGTTGATTTTGCTGTCTTTTACATTATTTTAGTTGGGTTTCTATCTGATTTCATGTTTTTAGCTGTTTTTATGTTTTCTCTAGCTTTGCACATCACACAGAGTCCGCTGGTGTTGGGTGGCTAATAAATGTAAATAAAATAAATAAACTTATAAACCATAGGTTTGAGCTTGTAACTATTCAGCCATCTGAACACGGGTCCACCAGGGGCTGCTGCCGTTAGAGAATCCTGATGGTCTGTCCTTCTGGTGGTTATTAGTATTGATTTGAAGACTCTGTGTGTAATTGCATTAGTTACAGGATCTTGCATGCAATGCTATTATGTTGAACGCAGGGAAATTGTCGTATATTAAATCAAACCATGGATTCCTCTGACCCAATAACTCTAACCAGAGATTTGGACGGGAGTTTTCTAGGCCTAACTGGAGGTGTCCAGATTGAATCTAAAATTTCCTATGTGCCAAACCTGTGCTTCCCTCACTGCATTGACTCAGGAGCCCTGGTGACACAGTGGTCAGATTGCTGTATTGCAGACTATCTCCGCCTTCCACTCCCAGCAGTTTGATCCCGACTGGCTCAAGGTTGACTCAGTCTTCCATCCTTCCGAGGTCTCTATCATTTTTGGCTGAAAATGGATGTCCTTGGGCATTCATCAGTCTCTGGGATTAAATGAGGTCCTAAGAAGTTGAAGATTAAAAGAGGGAACAGTATCTATTTATCACCAAGTTATGGATGGAAGCTGGATCTAACAAGCATAATCTGGTGGCTCAGTGGTTAGAATGCAGTACTGCAGGCTAACTCTACACACAGCCTGGAGTTCGATCCTGGTGGGCTCAAAATTGACTCAACCTTTCATCCTGCCGAGTTCGGTAAAATGAGGATCCAGATTGTTGAGGGGCCATAGGCTGAATCTGTAAACTGCCCAGAGAGTGCTGTAAAGCACTGTGAAGCGGTATATAAGTCTAAGTGCTATTGCTATTAAAGCCTTTATAAAGAGGGAAGAGCGGATGTGAGGATAAGGCCATGTGCCCTGTAAATAATTTAATTCATTATATACACATATACATAAAAGCATATGTATGTATGTATGTCCATTAAGATGAGAAGAGAATAATAGGACATAGCAGTAGGGGGAATTGTTGAATGGGCGGATGTGGCAGCCTACAGTCTGGACTGAATATCTTGCAAGTTGCTTCTAAAGAATCTCAGTTCAAGCAGGTTGCTTTTTTTTAATGTCTTGAATTTAAACTGCCATGAGCACAGGACAGGCAGAATTTAAAAGTACAATGTGGGTATGTCTTTAGAAATTCTCAAGTTACTAATCTGGAAACCAAAATATATAATGGGGTGCTTTTTCTTTGTGTGTGTGTTTAGTTTTAGCATGTATGGTTTGTTCTCATGGGAAGTATTATGGGTAGCTGCTAGCATTTTAGATTTTCTCATTTTAATGCATTTCAATATTTCCCTTTTAACCAGAATAGGACTGCTCCATTATCTACATTTCTGATGACTCCTCCAGCAAATCAATCTTGACATCTCCTATCCCTGACCTGTCAGCCACACTTTCTGCAACAATTGATTGCTGATTATATGTACAATATAATATGTATTAAAACACTTGGTTTGATTTCTATATACTAAGCTTCTTTTTAGGGGATCAAACTCTACCCTCCAAGATTTGTAAGACTAGCTTTAGTAAATTCTATATAACAGATGTAAATATGATTATGTGCATTATATTTATAGTTCAAAGTTTTTCTATGGAGTCCACACATTTGTAATATTCATTTTTCATATGTTTTTGAGACCCTACTGATGGCTAAACTCCCACCCACTTCAACTACTTATGTAGCACAGATCTTACTATTATTGTTTTAATCTGAAACATAAGAATTGCATTATTTTTAAAAAATATTTCCTCTCTATATAAAAAGCTACTTGCACTTGATAAACTAGCATAGGAAGTAGGGTTTAGCACAGTTCTCTTACTGATATCCTAGCTTACTGTATGAAGGGGCATTTTATTGGGAAGAGAACTAAAGAATATGAACTCAGTGGAACAGTCCAAATTTTTTTCACGTCACTGCATATAATGCAAAACTTAAATTTTGGTCACCTCTCATGTGCTGCTGTCCTTGTCTCTTATTTATTGAATTAACACACTAAAAAATCATTCAAGTGTGTTCTCCTATTCATCATGGATTTTTCTATTCACTGTGGATTTAGTGATACAGTAAGAAAAATATATACTATTATATCCTAAGAATATTTTTTTTTCTTTTTGGATGTCTGGCTACCTCCTAACATACAGTACCTGATTCCACTCCACTCCATTTCTTGTCCAAGCATACAACCAGCAACTCCTTCAGTGCTCAGCACAAATCTGTTGTACTTGATCACAGAGGTTAAGTAAGTAGGTGAGTAAATGGAATTAGATAACAATGAGCTTGAAGAGGGGAAATAATTTAGTGTCAAGCCCCAGTCTCTTACACGCAGAGAAATAAAATGTATAGGATGAACCCTTTAAACCCCAGCTGGAAGTTGTCCTAAAGCCAAGAGCAAGGAGTGGATCAGATAGGAATTTGAACTTGAGACCCTGTCATGTACTTATTATGCAAGTTTCTGAGATGTTTTTTTCTTTCCTCCTCTTGCTTTCTCGGAAAGATGTTTGTGTTCCTGGCTTTCCTGGCTGCCTTGTTTTCCTTTATTGTGTGTGCCCCACTACAAGGGACACTACAAGGGACAAGAAGCCAAAACAAGCTTCTAGTTGTTTCTTTTGATGGCTTTCGGTGGAATTATGATCAAGATGTGGACACCCCCAATCTAGATGCCATGGCAAGAGATGGGGTGAAGGCACATTACCTCACTCCCCCCTTTGTCACCCAGACAAGCCCCAGTCACTTCACTTTGCTCACAGGTGAGTGTTGCACTCTGGAAGGGAAGTGATGGGATGGAAAGGTAAGAGGGGGGAAAAAATGAGAATCTGAAACGGATGTGTCACTGGGGAGGAATAGCACTGTTTGTTTATGATACCTTTTTAGTTTATGGTGTTAAAGGTGGGAATGGGAACATTTGTCATTCTCATCCTTAGCCCCCAACCCTCCAAAACAAGTAACAACTGCATTGTCAAAAATCAGCTATTTTTCTGTGGCTCAGGATTTTGACTTGCAAATATACCGTATATATTCATATGAGAATATACTAATGTCCAGCACAGGTCTTACCTAATCCTCAGTGACCTAAGTAGATTAGAATCAAGATGCAATGAACATGTTGCTCACATTTCATCAGTAAGTAAATAGAAGAAGCACGTTTCTTCATGTGAATCTTCATCATGTTTGTATTGAAGCATTGGCAATCCAACTCTTGGAGGGTTATTCGGATAACAGTTTGATCTCTCAGCACATCTCCATCCCCCAAACTCACCCACATTTCTGAAGATCACTGTTAGATGATGACAATGTTATCAATGTTTTTGTCAGCTTTGACCATTCATAAAAGCGCTGGAAAAAAATTGAATTGTCTGGACCTTCAAATAGTGATAATAATGCAGTAGCTTTGGAAAATGCGAGTTATTAGTCCTTTTTATAGGATTTTTTTGCTCATTATTTCCACACTGAGGAAATGTGCCATCACACTCATAATAAAAGCACGACGACTCTGCTGTAAATTAATACTTTAAGGCACTGCACAAATTGCTCTTAAGCTCAGTGGTACTTAGTGTAGCACTTCATTTGTTTCCTTTAGAGTGCTTCCAAACTTAGTTTTTGAGGAATTACATTTTTGTTGAAAATATCAATATAATTATTAAACATTCTGGCAATTGTAGTTGATGGGCAAAACAGATCCTTCCTCTAAATGTTTCCCACTGGAACAAAAGCATGACTAGAATCTTTAAAGCAATGAAGGTATGCAACTAGCTGAATTAAGCAGAATTGAACCAAGTTCATACTTAGATAGGAGACCATCAGGAGATCTTGGAGTGGCAGTCTAGACTGGGAAGTCATAGACTTTCCTAGAAGAAGGCAATAGCAAACCATTTCTGAACAGCTGCCAAGTAAAGTACCTGAGTAGGTATTATACAGAAGGAAGGAATGCAGTACATGCCATCTTAAGCTTATAGAGGAAAGGCAGTGTATTAAACAAATCAATAAATCAAGTCACTTGAAATCAAACTTGACTTAAGGGAGTCTTTACTTTTTATAATTAAAAGAGACTATTTTAGATCAGTGCCTGTATTTGGAGAAAGCTGAAGTATCAATGACATTATAACCAAGACACAATTTCCCTGGCTCACTTGCCCTATTATCTAACAGTAGTTTCATGGTCCACCACCTGAACTTTTTATCTTACTAAAGAATTGTAGGAGTGCAGTTCTCAGGGATCAATGTACAAAAACTGGGAAGTTATGTGAATGGAAGGAAGAAAGAAGTGGAAACCATGGTCTGCGTGTTTCCAGAGAACAAAAGGAGGCTGAAGGCATTTTTTCTGGATTTGTAAAAGACTATTTGACTATCCAAGACATTTCGGGGGGGGGGGGGAAGAGTGACAACATCTGTACAAATTGTCTGACATCTATCTGTAAAGAGAGGTTATTGCCATAGCTCAGTCATGGCGAACCTTTTAGAGACCGAGTGCCCAAACTGCAACCCAAAACCCACTTATGCATCGTCGAGTGCCGGGTGGGTGTGGCCCATTGGCTGGGTGTGGCCTACTGGGTGGGCGTGGCTGTGGTGGTCACGGCAGACTGGGTGGGACTAAAAAGTTCAATCAATCAATTCCAACTTTGCAAGATCTTTTTTCCCATGAGAAGTTGAAATTGACTGATTGAACCTTTTTTTTTTTTTTGCACACGGCGGTGGAGGCCTAAAGCGAAAAAGTTTTATAAAACCCAGCTGAAGGCCTCGGACTGGGGCGACGTCGCGCGTGCCCACAGAGAGGGCTCTGAGTGCCGCCTCTGGCACCCGTGCCATAGGTTCGCCACCACTGCCATAGCTGGACAGGTATAGGAGAGAGAGCTGCCAAGCACTAACATAAGTCAAAGAAGAAATTCAATAGAAAAAAAGAGAGGGGGGGAGGGAGGGGGGG